GGTAAAAGACTGAAAAGATGTGTCTATAATGTCTCCGCAAGATGAACAGTGAATATGGACAAGTTTACTCTGTTTGTATACTGTAATTTTCTTGTTTTACTAAGTACAACCGGTTGCAGTCAAAACATAAACAAACAAAATGTAAACATAGCAGACGAAACTCTTACAGATTACAGCTTTCTCAGTAGGTATCACTATACAAAATCGAAGAATTATTTGAAAAGACGATATCGAATTCGTCACTGAATTCCCATGTTTTTTGGGACACCCTGTACATTACGTAAGAATTGCAGTATTCTAGATTGAGATTACCTTTCATCATCCCCGACCAAGGAATCCATTCTATCGGTTATTAGCTTCGGCGAGTGGGGTAACAAAGTAGACCTTTTTGAATCCTGGCCACGTCTTCAGAGCGCCTTTTCCTAAATAAAACAAATAATATGACTGTATATTATTTATAGACAGAGGACCAATCCATTTTGTACACACCCTACTAACCCGAAAGCCTAAAAATAGTTAAGCCTCTATATAGGTATATATATATTTAGGTAAATATACGGTAAAATTCGTATATAAAAGTCGTATGATAAGAACTTGCGTGTATTTACGTATTTTCACGCATTTATCATACCAAGCTATTTTTTAAGGCTTAGGTTTCCCAGAAACGTATTTTTACAAATAATTGCGTATACTTCTTACCGAGTTTTTATGTTTATATTTTCCAGATTTTTATGTATTTTTCACGTTTTTCTTTACTTAAAACATAGTATGTTTTTTAGAATTAAAAAACTTTAATTCACACCTAAAAATACGTGCATTTTCGTAAATTTTATACCAAATGATTTTTCGAAGTATTTAGGTTTTTATTTACAAATTTTACATATTTTTCAACGTAATTTGTCAAAATATTTGCGATACCAAGTCAGAATTAAAAAATATTTTAGAATTTTTTCAAGATGTATTGTTATTATATAAGAAATTTAATGAATACATTTTGGCAAATACAATGTTTCCATATTTCTATAATTTATTTTGGAGCAAATTAATGTGTTCATTAGAATCAATGACAGTAAATTCTCTATTTTTTTTATATATAGAAGTTCTACTTAAAGACGGTCTTAGAACAGGTATATGGTTAAGGTATGAAGTTTACCAGATATTGATTACGTAATTGTTGAAGATACAGACAAAATGCGTATATGAATGTTGATTTAGATAAAATACAGATGAAGGAATGATGATGGTATGAATTTGTGTTGAAGAATATTGGATTGGATTGAAAATAATTGATATTAATGAATGGACTTAAAAATTTGTGAGATCATGTTGTAATAATTGTAATAGTTGTTGTAATTAGTTGTTTAAGACTTTAAATATGCCTTAAAAATACGTATTTTTACGTTTAACTGAGGAAATGGTTAACGAAAATACAAGTCATGCTTACGGCAAATACGTATTTTCACGTATTCCAAGCCTAAAAATACACACATATATATATATATATATATATATACGAAAGTCATACATATTTAGAGGTTTTCCGGTTAGTTTTTCAGGACCTTAATTTCAAGTATTTTGAGGTAGACATATTAATAACTTTATTAATTTATTTCCAAGTTAGCTTAGTTCTGGGCCGAGCGCCGCAGCTAAGACAGGCTAGGGGGCCGAGCGCTGCGGCTATGACAGCTGCTAGGGGGCCGGGCGCCCCGGCTAGGGCAGGCTAGGGGGCCGGGCGGTGCGGTCAATTATATCCATGTCTATCATACAATATCCATGTACAAAAGTGATAGCAGGGGAGAGGGGTCCAAAAATCGTATATTAGGAAATTACCACTGCGGCCACATTACCACTTAAACCCTTATGTTAAATCTGAGATATATGTAAGGTATATTGAGGGGGGGGGGGCAACTTCTTGTCATAAGAAATTGAACCCTTTGCTATGAACCGAAAAAATATACGATTTGCACTTTTAAAATTGTTCATTTAAAGGTTTCTGTTATCACTCTATTTGGAACCCTATAAGGACCCCCCCTCCTATTAATTTTGTACATGCATCTATTTAACACACGGATAAAGATGGTCATGTGGCCGCATCGCCATGCCCCCTAGCCTGTCTTAGCCGCGGCGCTCGGTCCCTAAGCCTGTCCTAGTCGCAGCGCTCGGTCCAGAAAGTGTCTTAACTAACCTAACCCGTGGCCGCAGCGCTCGGCCCCCTAGCCCATCCTAGCCGCAGCGCTCGGTCCAGAAAAATGCTCGAGCCTCGTTGTTTGCTTGATGAACTGCAAATTTTGCGGTACAACTTGAACTAATTTACATCGTGAAAATCATGGATAAATGAGAGTGGGTCATGGAGGTCACGTACGTTATGTTTAGAAGTGGATCTAATTATATATGGTTCCAGCTTATCTTGTCTGTTAGAAAACCGGTCCTGAAAGCTTAAGTACAAATGTACGCTTTCATGGCCGCCAAACTGAAAATCATGTTCTTGCTTCAGGGGCGTATACATAAATTACAACTATAAACTTATTATTGTTAACCATTTGTGCAGAGGTGCAGACAACTTATATCCATGATTGACGTTTCTGAGTTCACAATCACATGCACATTACACAATTACAGAAAATTCAGTTCGTATAATTTTAAGAAGATAAAAACGAGACTTACTTTTTTCTATAAGGCAAAAACGAACAAAAAACGATCGTTTTAAAAACCCAAAAACTATCGTTTTTGCCTTATAATTTCTTAGAGGGTAGCAAATTTGCATGTTTTGTAAACTTCAACAGAATAAATTGTTTTAAAATGTTGAAACCTTCTCATAAATTGTCGTATAATACCTTTTAAAAGTCAAAAAACATTAAATTTTTGTAAGTTTAATCTGGACATTGCACATTAAAATTTTAAAAATAAATTATTTATAATGGAAACTACTATAAAACATGAGAATTAAAAGTTTGCAAGTTGTATAAAGATATAAGATCTAATCTTCGACCCCTTCATCCCCCCCCCTGGATCCGCGCCTGGGTCCCACATCATATTAAAGATCGTTCAAGATTTTAGGGACCAATCAGAAAATATAATGAAGCTAATATAAAAATTTTCTTGCAGAAAATTCCAGGTTTTTTAATATTATGTGCGTATTTTGGCGTTAAGCTTGGAGATAATCTAATATGATATGGTACGCTCCAGGCCCATCGCCAGGATATTTCCAAGGGGGGGGGGGGGGCAACATTTTTTTTTTTTTTAAATATTACTTGGTTTGTTTTTACAACATGTATATTGTTGTTTTTATTACATTGTCAATGCACACTATAAAGACTAACAAGTGTATTTGAGCTTTTAAGGGTTACATTTTAGTGTATGAAACTTTTCAGTTTACATATACAATATACATTAAAAATTAAATGAATGGTACTTTAGCTGAAGGAAAAAATTCATTATTTAAAATCAATGCTTCTTGCCCCTCGGCGTCATTATGATAATATGAAGATGAATAAAAAATAATGCTAATTTCTAATATTTTGTTTAAAAGAGTTTATTTATTGACATTGAGACATTCAGACATTCTTAGTGAATTTTTGAGTACTCAAAAAAAACTCTTCCACTTTAACTAAAAATGACAAATAATTTCGCCCAGAATAGTGTCTTTAAAATCCCAAAAATGGCTATTATATTCCAAAATAAATGGATTTTAGAAAATTATGAGAAACAATTTCTTTTATGGGACGGGGGAGGGGGGGTGTAAATTCGTCATTGCACCCCCCTTTCAGAAGAAAGGTGGTGCACCTGTCCCCCTGCACCCCCCTGGCTACAGGCCTGGTACGCTCTGTATATTAAATCTAAGCATCGAAACTAAAATGGTGGGACAATTTATATTTACATCAGAAATCTGAACTTCTGTGCGGAGTATCGCGTTATTCTTGAACGCTTGATCTTGATGTTCAATGTGTTGCAGGGGATGACCATCATGGGATATCGAGGAGGAATAAAATGAATCCGAAGATATGTATGTGTAAATGCTGGAGATCAATGCCATGATCATCCACAGTTCAAGAATAAAAAACACAAAAAATGTAACATTTATTTACTTTTATTCCTTAGATTTGAGTTTTAAGGTTTTAAAAGTGAAATTTTAAGTTTTCAGAATCGGCTGCACAAAAGCCTGAGGTGTGTAAACTTTTACACAATTGCTTTTCCTAATCTAAAAGACTTTAAGATATAAATAAGGGCGTATACAGAAATAAATCTATGTTGGGGCAAAATATGCGCGAAGCGAAAAAGTTTTTTTTGCCCCCCCCCCAAAAAAAAATTTGAACCGTAAATTCAAAACATTTGGCTTCTTAGATACACTTTAAAGGTACACATACACTTATAGTCCAATTACCATACATAGGACTACTTTATCTAGGGGGGGCCTTGCCCCCCTGTATACGTCCTTGACATTTTTGTTCTTCTCAATTGCTCTACATTGGAGGGAGTTACATTAAAAAACATTATGCGATTTACTTTAGTTCTAGGTGGAATATTTGAATATTTTATGATTTAAGTAAGTAGGTTTACTGATCATGTCCGGGGTGTAATTAGGAATTCAGATTTGATGNGTCAGAATTTGAACTGTAAATTCAAAACATTTGGCTTCAATAATACTTTAAAGGTACACATACATTATACAGTCCAATTACTATACATAGGACTATTTTATCTCTCCATCAAACAAAACTAGCAGAAAAAAACAGCAACGCCCCCCTTTACAGCTCTAGGTAGGGGCACTGCCCCCCTTGCCCCCCTGTATACGCCCTTGGATATAAATATTCAAATAGCACTACAAAAAAATGTTTCAGCATGGAAAGAAAAAGAAAAATATATATGATATAAGCCTAAAACTGTTCTAACTTGGTAAAATCTATATTTTGTCTCTGTTTCTCCAAGGTAAATCTTTAATGGGATTCTCAACCTCTAGTCCTAGAGTAATAAAGGTTCTTTCAGCTTCTAGCAGTTCATCTAGATCAGCTTCTCGGGATACAGTCTCTTCTGTACAGTCAACTCCTAAAGTGATAAAGTTTGATGTGATATGATTCACTCTGTTTGTATCAAACTTTCAATTTATTGTTTTCAATACTTTTTTACCATTTGCGCTCTAAAGGTTTTTAAAGTTTTGCTATGTATTTTTAAATTTTCCTTACTTTCCCCTTTTTTTAATCATTTACTGAGTATTTCCTTACTTAACAACAGGGTTGTAAATGAGGTTTTTGTTTCTATTTGACATACGTTTGAGTTTGGTTAGTTTTAAGATGAATTTGTTAAATGCAGAATTGGATTAAGCAACTGGAATCTTAACCGCTTATTTTCTAATCCCTTTATCTTTGAAACCAGAGGTCGGAACTTGATGTAAATGCCGGGATCAAGCATTGATCTCCATCTTATTCAGAACTACGGTTTAATTTTTTATATCTCTTGGATATCCGTGGTGCAGGGTAACCCTGCAGGGAAAAACTTTGATTGAGGGATAAAGAGATTAAGCGTTCAAGATTAATGTTGCACAAAAGTTTCAACCTCTGATGTTATGAACCTTAAACATTTCAAACTGTGATATTTGCAAGGACAAAAATATCTAAAGATTGCACAATTTTGTTCAAATATAAAGGGATTAGAAAATTAGAGATTAATACGGCTTTGGATCTTGATATCCATCGGCAATAAACTATAGAACTAACCTGACCAGATAGAACAGGCAGTGTATCCTTGATGGAACAGTGTTCCATTTGGACAAACATTAGAGAACATTACAGAACCTAAACAGTGTTCTATTCGGACAAACCTTAGAGAATATTACAGAACCTAAACAGTGTTCTTTTTGGACAAACATTAGAGAACATTATAGAACCTAAACAGTGTTCTATTTGGACAAACATTTGGAAACATTACAGAACCTGCACGGTGTTCCATTTGGACAACAATTAGGAACATTACAAAACCAAAACAGTGTTCCATTTGGACAAACATTAGGGAACATTACAAAACCTGAACAGTGTTCTTTTTAGACAAACATTAGAGAACATTACAGAACCTGAACAGTGTTCTATTTAGACAAACATTAGAGAACATTACAGAACCTGAACAGTGTTCTATTTAGACAAACATTAAAGAACATTGCAGAACCTAAACAGTGTTCTATATGGACAAACATTAGAGAACATTACAGAACCTAAATAGTGTTCTATTAGGACAAACATTAGGGAACATTACAGAACCTGCACAGCACAGTGTTTCTTAACTGTGTTCTATTTTGACAAACATTTGAGAACATTACACTATAGAAACTGAACAGTGTTCTATTTTGACAAACATTAGAGAACATTACAGAACCTAAACAGTGTTCTATTTGGACACACATTACAGAACATTACAGAACCTAAACAGTGTTCTATTTGGACAAACATTACAGAACCTAAACAGTTTTCTATTTGGACAAACATTAGGAAACATTACGGAACCTAAACAGTGTTTCATTTGGAGACAAACATTAGAGAACATTACAGGTAACAGAATCCCTTAACAGTGTTCTATTTGGACAAACATTTGAGAACATTACACTATAGAGCCTGAACAGTGTTCTATTAGGACAAACATTAGAGAACATTACAGGTAACAGAACCCCTTAACAGTGTTCTATTTGGACAAACATTAGAGAACATTACAGGTAACAGAACCCCTTAACAGTGTTCTATTTGGACAAACATTAGAGAACATTACAAAACCTGAACAGTGTTCTATTTAGACAAATATTAGGGAACAGTGTGCTTTTTGGACAAAAACTAAAAAAACATTGTTTTTATAAATTTTTAAATACATCAAAGATTCCAAGGTACATTAATATTTTAGAATATGTCTAAGGAACAAATTTGTAATCTAACTTAAAGGGACTGTGAGCGTAATTTGAAGTGATTCTCCATGCAAAGATGGCAATGACCAATTTACAACGTTAAGCTTTGTCTGATCAAGTATCCTTTGCATGTATTTGTTCATCTAAGTTTTTATTTGCTCTGCGAAAGTGATTTGCGCATTTCTTGTTTATAAGAAGCAACAAAGAAACTCACAGAAATAAACACTTATCGAGTCAGAAAACGACAGCATCTTCCACATTTTTTATCAGACTAAAGTTTCAAGGGTACCGTGCAAATCAGACATTGAGAGAGTCCATTGAAATTACACTTACAGTCCCTTTTTACGCTTGCGTCGATCCCTTTCAGCCCAAAACCAGGGAACAAAATAATCGTGTACTAATTATTACTTAAATATGATAGCTATAATTTATATTATTTATGTTTTGAATTTTGATGCTACCTACACAAATATGAAAGACCTGGCATCTTGTTTCAATATCTGCGTAGTATCTACAATAAATAATTTATTGGTTTGAAGCCGATCTAATAATTGTATTCGTAGCAAAACTTTCATCTGATATTCAAATAACCATAATTTAAGGCATCTCAACTTGTTCTTGATTTGATGTCTGTCTAAATAATTCATACAGATTTTTAAAGAAACAAATTATTGTATCAAATTATCTCTACCCACCTACAGGTATGCAATCTTTCATGATATTATTAAAACGTTACTTAATGGTACTTACCCTCCTACAACCTTATCATCACAGGAGAAACTGGTTATCGGAATATTGTTGGGATCAATGATTGGAAAATCTTTTCCTGCCTTTCCAAACCCTGAAGGAAACCCGTAATTATTATCAGGACCTGGCAGCTCAGGGGACTGCTCGGAGTCATTATTTGGCTTAATCATCGAAATTGTGGAATTGGGCTTTAACAGAGTAGGTTTGGTAAGGGGGGGTTTGGAAGTGGAAGGCCTGGATGATGAAGGCTTGCTAGGCGAGGACTTAGTAGAGGTTGGTTTGGAAGAGGTTTGCTTGGTTGGTGAGTATTTTGAAGAAGATGACTTGGTTGGGGTTGGTTTGGAAGGAGATGAGTTGGATGGCTTCTCCTCATCCTTAGCTGTACTGGAAACAGATACAGAGTTCTAAAATTCATTAATCATAAAAAAAGATAATTCTTTTTATGAGTAAAACGTTTTTTAACTTCAAGGAGTGACGATTTGGATATCTAGTACAGACTTATTTTAAATCTCGGGATCAAGCATCTCCATCTTATGCAGGAAGATCATACGAGGGAGGGATGTCAAACCACACCTTTTTTGCGTCCGACATTGTTTACATTCTTTAGTTTACTTTACATTACATTATTCAAATTTTGAGCCATGTCATGTTAAAACATTTCATTCTGTTTTTTTTTTGTAAAGAATAACCACTTATGAAGGTACAATGAGGAATGGGGTGAAAAGGCGCCATGAGCCCCCAAAATGGATCTCCAAGCCACCATTCAGTCTCCAAGCCCCGCATTTTGGTCTCCAATAAAAATATTTGGCTTATATATCCACCAAAAACCTGCGGGAAAGGAAGTCAAACGAAGCAGGTTGCCTTCCCCCCTAATCTACCTGTCACTATACCTGTTACTATTGCACAGTCCCTCATTAAATTGTATTTTTATGATTAAATTTAATGCTAAAGACTCAATAGAGTTAATATACTCTTCAAATCATGATGTCTTCAGAGATATTAAAGTAGCTTATAAAGGTCGCCTTTTACTGATACAAGCTTTATGTAAAATTTTTACAAAAAACAACTTAGGATCAATTGAATGAATTAATGTTTCAAAAATGTCGATTAAACGATTCTTTAAACTTTTGCTGAGTCTACTATGAAGAGATATATTTTGATATTTGGTTGGTTAAGCCATGAAAGGTAAAAAAAAAACAGCAAGAGCAGATCAAATTGTGGGGAGGGGAGACAAAATGGCGGAGACTCGGAGATGTAGCAAACCTGGAGGCTCGGAGAACATTTTTGCGAGGCTCATGGCGCCTCTGCACCCCTTCTCTCGTACAATAGGACTAAAACAATTCATGGAAATTTTTATTTCATACTACCTCGAGCAAATCAAAACCACATGCTATGCTTTTTAGTTTTAGATTCTAAATATCCCAGCGAGTAGCGACCATCACATAAAAGTTGCAGTTTACTAGTAAAATAAGAAAATAACAGAAAAAAGTGTGGTCCGGACGAAAAACAGGTATTTTCCGTTTTGTGCCAAATGGGCTTAAATATCGTTTTAACTTTCAAACAACATGTATTTTAAACTAAATTAAATCATATTAGATAACATGACGTTGCTTAAATTCGAAAAAAGTATAATAGGACATAAAAATATATATCATCTGAAAACACAGAAGCAACGACCGGAAAAAAAAAGGTGTGGTCGGAAGAAATAATTGTAAATTGTGACGTCATTTGTGGTGCGGACGAAAAAATGGTGTGGTGTGCCTTCCTCCGCTCATCAAGCATTGATCCTAAAATCGCTTAGCAAGTATTGTCCTTAGTTATAATAAATAACCATATTGATTGACCTTGATACCCACTGTGGGCACGTTTAATTTGAGAATCAATACCTAATCCCTTCATTTATACATATCACCATGCGGAATATCGAGTAAAGCTTAAATTAATCTGCATATTAACAAAAGATCTTGATTGATCTTGATATCCACAATACAAGATGTTATAGCTCGGAGAATTTAAAGTTAATTGGGTAAATCTATCCCAACTAAATAAGGTTCAAAAATAAATTTACATCTCCAGTATTGAGTGTAGCCATCACGATAAATAAATATTCTAGATACCAGATTGTTATTTGCTTCAGCTTCATCAACTAGTGCTTCATCAGCTTTCTCCACTATCCCAGCAGTATCGGAACCAATTGCATTAACTGGATCAGAAACATCAGGAACTGGATATTCATGATCTTCTATGCCGATTCTATTTCAACAAAAAACATTTAACAAATATTTAATTTTCTATTTTTAGCCAACATAGGCAAGTAGTGATGTAAAAATAGTCTCAAATCCTTTATTTCGATGTATTGTCGAGGGACACAGGGATTTAATTGCTCCATCAAGTTCAAGTTCTGCAAGATTATTAACGAGCTTTGTGTTTTCAAAATAAGTCACAATATCAGCCAGCTAACATGGGAAATTAAAGATTTTAAAACAGACTGAACATTTTAAAAATGAAGTGACATCTAGGAGAGGAATAAAAGATGTACCACCGTACCAATCATGAATATGGATTTAGTTTCAACAATACATATATTGTACTTTTTGATGACTTGAAATTTCCACACAAAATACAGACTACATATTAAAGTCTTGAAAAACAATTCTTTTAGGCTATTGCATAGCATAATATGTACTTTGTATAGTTAAAAAGTAGTAAGTTGACGTAATCCCTGAAATCCTTTATATGACTCTATTTTAACTTTGTATGATTTAATGTATTTTTAATAGATGTCAGATACTTACTCAAGAACAGTGGCAGTCTCTGTTTGATTCCTTGATGATTTAGACAAAGTTGAGAAGGTTGTTAAAGTAGCTAATGTAGAAGAAATCATTGAAGATGATGGTGTAGAAAAAGCAGGCGAGGAGGGAGATGAAGTGGTAGATGTAGGCATTGAAGATGATGGTGTAGAAAAGTCAGGAGAGGAGGGAGATGAAGTAGTAGATGTAGACATTGAAAATTATGGTGTAGAAGAGGCAAGTGAGGAGGGTGATGATGTGGTGGCTGTAGGCATTGAGGATGATGGTGTAAAAAATGCAGGTGAGGAGGAGGATGATATGGTAGATGTAGGCATTGAGGATGATGGTGTAGAAAAGGCATGTGAGGAGGGGGATGATGTGGTAGCTGTAGGCATTGAAGATGATGGTGTAGGAAAGGCAGGTGATGAGAGGGATAATGTGGTAGATGTAGGCATTGCAGATGAAAGTGTAGAAAAGGCAGGGGAGGAGAGGGATAATGTGGTGGATGCTATAGGTAGGGAAGAGGAAAGGATATTTGAGGAAGAATTAACGTGAGAAGAAAAGGATGGAATATATGGGGCGGAATGGAGAAGGGTGTAGGTTTGTTTAGAATAGGGAGAATAAAAGTGACGTTGATTAGAGTAAGTTGGATTAGGGTAAGAGTGAAAGGAGTAAATTGGTTTAACGTAGGATTTGGGGGAGTAATTTAGTTTAGCGTAGGTTTGAGGGGAGTAGATTGGTTTAGCATGGGATTGTTTTAGGAAGTACATTGGTTTGGAGTAGGTTTGGGGGGAATATGAAGGTTTAACATATGGATGAGGGGATAGGCGACGGTTTACATAGGATGAGGGGGAGTGAGGTTGGGTGAAGTAGGTTTTGGGAATGTATGATGGGAGTTTGGGAGTGTAGGAAGAGGATTGAGGAAATATTTTAGACCATGTTCCAGGTATAGCAATCAGAAAAACAAGAACTACAAAAAAATCATGAGAAAGTAAAAGATTTTAGGTTTTGTCCAAAATAACCCACTTAAACATTTGTGAATTCTCCTCTTTAAATGACATCCTCGGTACAAGTACAAACGTCGGACGTTACAAAGATCTGACTGTACAAACGTAGGACTTCCATAACGTCAGACGAGTACAAACGTCGGACGTTACAAAGATCGGACAGTACAAATGTAGAACGTACAAACGTAGGACGGGTACATTTATAAGGAAAAACGCCGGTCTTTGGTTAATCGAGTTTTTTTTTTAAAGACCATTGTTATAAGAAATAAATTAAAACTCAATCTGCACTTATTGTGACAAAAATCAAAGATAACTGAAGAAAGTCTCAAACCTTTGAAAGTAGCACTGTATAAACAACAGACTAACAGACTCAAAAGGAGATGAGTTCTTGTGCCAAGCGCTGATGTTTCAACGCCTATATCTTTGCAACCCAGTGTCGTAGACCTTTGATATTTCTACCTAAGAAATCTAAACGATCATAAACAGTTTAAGTTTGAAAAAATCAACCCATCAGGTTGCGAAGATATAGGGATGCGTATGTTTAAGTTAGTGTCATCAAGAACTCCATGGTTCCTTTGGGATGATTTTATTTAGACCTTTCGGTAAAAAGAAATAACTTTTTTTTAAAAATCTTAAAATTAAAATGAATGTTTTTTCCTTAGTCCGACGTTTGTACTGCAGTCCGACGTTGGTACTTATAAACCGTCGTTTCTACTGGTCCGACGTTTGTACTGTTTGTAAGTCTTTGGTTTGTACCGTCCGACGGCTTTTTTACTGGTACCACATCCTCCATTTGATCTTTCTTTTCCTCATATTACAATTATCTCACTTATCCGCTGTTTCGGAATCTGTATACCCACAAAGGATATGAGTGACGTTGAAACCCAGTACATTTTTTTTATCAACGTACCTACGGTATCCAACCTCATCATAGAGCTAGAGAAGAACAACTACCGTTTAAATCACCTTTTAAATATTTTATACATATTTGATATTCAATAAATTCTCCTGCACGGTTCAAGGAGTTAAAGTTTAAGAGTGCGTAAAAAGATTAGGGGGGGGGGGGTTGCGTGTTTACTTTTCACTCAGACATTGTTTTTTATGCACAAGTTGTCCCAACAAACATTGCGTTTAAATACATAATGTGGTACAGTGTACATATATCCATAAAGAATTAAAGATTTTTTTGACTTGCCATCAATTAATGTTCAGATTCTTACTAATCTAATTTTTCATACATATAACAGCGAAAGAAATTAAAGGGATCAAAAGCACATTTCTAGTGGCCGTCTAGTGCAAAAATGGCAAAGCCTGATTCAAAAAAGTAACCTGAAAAGCTTTTTATGAGTAAGATATCTGCTTTTTTAGTTTTGAAAACTGATTATTTTCAATTGGCAGTTCATTTCTACAGAAGTGCATTTACACTGCAGGAAAACAATATCCGAATGAAACATATTTAAACCTAGAAAAACGATGATATCTTCCACAATAATGATCAGATAATGGTTTCGGCCGTTGTGAAACTGGCATTGCCATCTTTGTCTGGAGGTTCACTTGAAAATACGCGTCCCATGAAGTAAGATTTTATTCAAATTATTGATAGCCAGGATTTCCAATTTTTCCCGGACGATTTGGACCAATTAAGGTTCCTGCTGAAACTGATAAAAATAATAAACAATTGAAAATTTCTGGAAATAACGAAATTCCGCGTAGATTTATAATTTTTGAACTCCCCGCATATTTACTGCAAGACAGGTCCATATTTCATGAATAAACAGAGTTACAAGGAATACGCCAAGTTGAATTCAAAAATCAAATATTTAATAAATACCTCAGATTTTAGAGTTCAAATCATAGTTTAATATACGGTTATACTTCTGTAATAACTAACAATAAAATTAATTCTTTAATTATAAAAAGTTTGCATTGTTTTAACACTGAATAACCGACACGGGTTTTATGATTGATGGCATCCGAAATAATTTTTGGGTAGTTTTCAAAATCCATTAATTAGTTTTTAGTCACGTGGAGCCTTATCCCCAGGGAATAAGAAATAGAAGGGAGATATAACTGACGCGGTTCGCCCTACCTTATGATTATTCATGCTTTGCAGACGAGTACTCCATTTGTATAAGAAATATTTGTCTGAAGTTCAATAACCTATTTTGATTATTTTTTATACAAATGGAGTACCCATCTGCAAAGCACGCATATTCATATGGTAGGGCGAACCGCATCAGTTAAATCTCCCTTCTATTCCTTAGTCCCTGCACCCAGGGACCCCCCCCCCCCCCCCAAAGTTTTTTGGAGGTATTATTTAAAAAGGTATTTTGACTTTTCTAAAAATCACATGCCCCTTACTTAAGACTTGAAGCGAGGCTTTTAAAGCAACTACACGAGTCCTTTGGTATACTGCCCAATTGCCTTTTTTACCTTTACTACACTAAATCCATATTTAGACCCACTTCCGGTCATTTGATTTCAACTTTTTCTGGCTCTTATAGCCTTGAACAAAAGGTAGCAGATTTCAAAAATTTTGCGAAGAAATTATGCGATGCCTTTCAGTTTTCCTTGAATACAAATTTAGTTTTGGCAAATTCTGAAATTTTTGCATATTTGAATTCGCCTTGGCAAGGGCTTTTCAAAAATGTGTTATTTATCATATTTCGCGCACTTTTAGCTTTTACAAATATTTTGCTTAATAACTTGATATTGCAATATTTAAAATTTATCAATTTCTTTTTCAGATTATTTAAGTACAGCCCAAGGGCTTTCCAAATATGTATCAAATGTTATGGATTTCTATCACATTAAGTAAATAGCCTTAATAGGGGTACTTAAGCGTCCGGGAAAACCGTCGNGAAGAAAATCAAAATCTTTGATTTAAGATACATATTTTTGAAAAATTTAGTTAGGTTTAGATAAATCATATAATAAAAATTATTTTAAAAAAAAGAATTATCTAAACTTAAAAAAAAAATCAACAAAAAGGTATTTCTTTATCCATTGGCACCACGGATTAACTACAGTCGTCGTCCTAGAAATCAATACAATTTCTACTTCAATGATGATTTCTACAGAAAACAAGTTTCTCCACGATTGCCACTAAAATGTTCCAAGAGATAAATTATTACACCTGAACATAACGTTTACTGAACTAATGTTCAAATGTCGTAAAATCGGGCAAAGGTTAGTTGCACATAATGATTGATTGTCGGAAAAAAAATAATATTTCTTCAAATTTGCTACCGAATTATTTTTAACTGGTGCAATAGGGATTTAACATTTTCGATATTTTAGTTTCACCCTTAATAAATCTAAGAAACAAAACAATTTCAGAAATGATTTTTCGGTTCTTTCAATCATATTTCGTGTGTTAAAAAATTGACAATCACATGAAATAATTTGTCTTTAAACTACGATCTAGGTTTGATAACGTCCCCTCGCCCCTTACACCTGTGAAAAAAGAAAAAAAGAGTTTTCAAAATTCTCACTATCCGTCTCTAAATTAACATTTTGGTACGAAGAATATATTTTGATGATGTTACAAGCGTTTAACAGTTAAACAATTATTTTCAAGGGTTTGTTCCTATGGTTGAAACAATTTTAAGCTAAATATGAGAAGCCCTCTCCTTTATTTTAAAGAAAATATAACACGAGCCGATAATATTTATGATCACATGAAGTCGTCCATATCGTTGTAACCATCGTCGACCCCGCGACCAAACATCGACCGATCCGTCTCCATTTTGATCGTAGCCTTTCCTCCCGCCTTCCCCTTCTTAGCCTTCGCTAATTTCTCCTCTTTCAGCTTCGTTGACTCGAAGGCTTGAGCTGAATTTCGAACCTTTTTCAAAGTTGCTACGTTAAGTTTCATACACAATCCATCAATAAGTTCGGCCGCGAAGTCGAAAAAATGTTCGGAAGATTCTAGAGGTTTCAGTTTCTTCAGGAGTTCGTCACTGCAATCAATAAATCATCGATCTGGGAGTGCCTAACACTATATATAATTTTTAATTGTTTTGTCGGGGGGGGGGGGGGGTGGGGGGGGGATGGAAAAAGAAAAAATTGACAATTTTATTTGACAGACATGGCTGAATTACTCGTACAGACTTACACTTTTTTGTTCTGGCTTGATTACATAATCTTGGTACATCTAATGTGTTTTTTAATACCAATGTTTTTTTAAAACAACATTACTGAAACGTGCAACTGTTCAAGAAAATATTTTTTTTACGGATGTAATAATTGGCTCGAAAATATGTAGTTTAACAAAGTTATCTTGCAAGAGAAAACAAACAAGCTAAGAGATAAGATTGATTTTTAAATAAAACCGTTCAAGCATTCCCAACGTTGATGATGTGTTTCCTAAGAGTTTTAAAGTCCTCCTTCGTTTGTGGTTTGAAATTAATCCCCGAGTTGTCTGCCATCTCTTCTTTAGCTCCTAGTAGTTCACGAGCTAGTTCAAGATCACCCTCCTCAGCCATCTTCTGTGCTCTAAACAAAGACAATTTAACAAGATTTTCAGGGGGTCAAAAGACGTAATTTCAAGTAACTCTATATAAAAAGAGCGATTTACAATGTTAGAGCCTTCGATTAGATCAGGGTTACTCCAGAGCAAATGTGGGTCAGTTTACCTGACCCAACTGTCCAAATTTGGAAAACTACTCCAAATTTTGAGCCAAAACATGCCAGTTTAGGGGGACAAGTTTAGCAAGTAACAGAAGAAAATGCCAATTTTAGCCAAAAATGCCAATTAAGATATTCAGTTGGTAACATTCTTTTTTTTTATAAAAAGATCCGCCATTAAGTATGCCACACAATGTGTTGGCACATTAAATCTACCACACATGCAATTGAGTATCAGAAAAGCTGCCATAAACAAAATCTAAATGCATAAAATCTGCCACACAAATTATAAAAGAGAGCTTAAAATTATGTTAACACATAGCAAATGCCACAAGATATACCCTGACACATAAAATCTGCCACAAATGCAATTAAAGTTCAGAACATCTGCCACAAACATAATCTAAATGCATAAAATCTGCCACAAAATTATGTTATATCATAAAAAATGCGACAAGTTATACCCTGAAACATAACTCCTGCCACAAATGCAATCCAAATTATGCCTCCTCCAATATGTGAAAACATAAAATATGCCACAAAACTATTTCACCGAAAAATGCTTTAAATTAAGTCTTAGCAAATAAAATATGCCACAAAAAGTATCCAAATGACATGGAAATACCATAATTTTCCCCCCACAATTGCAGGGGTGTACATTTTTCACAATTAAATTGACAGAGGGGGGGGGCGAACCGCATCAGTTAAATCTCCCTTCTATTCCTTAGTCCCTGCACCCAGGGACCCCCCCCCCCCCCCCCCNGGGGGGTGGGGACATTATCTGGGACAAAAATGCAACTTTTTGTTATCATGCAAATACAAAATATCTTCTCAAAAGCTTGTAAGAGAACCAAGACATATTTTAAAACAGACAAGATATCTACCTAAAATAAAATATACCGTGTAATTAGTTAATGTAATAAGTATTACATATTTTTAATGTACTAATGTTTTGTTAATAACTGAAATGATTTATTATTACTGCAGAAAATATATGATTTTATTTGAATATCAGTTGTTTAGCCTTGATCCGTAAATCTTTTGTGGTTGAGGTAAAAAAAAATTTAGCCTGCGGCACCCCTCTCCTACGTCAACTAGTAAACCTGTCATATTTTTATCCCCCCCCCCCCCTTATCAAATCAAAGCTGCGACCTTGTACTCCCAGATGTGAGCATGACACATTTATAAAGTGGTAAAATTATTTTTGGAATTAGAAAATGTTCCTTTTTCACCAATATTTCAATATGTCTCAAAATTGAGTAATTGGGGTTGATTATGAAAAACATTTGGCAACCTCATCCCCCCGCCCACTCACAACCAATAAATCATACTTCTGAGAGTCGGGGGGCGGGGGGGGGGGGGGGATTTCTGCCTTTTTTTGAAAATCTGCCAGATTTACTCTTAACCTGACCTGCCACTAAAAACCTGGGATGAACCCTGGATTAGAATTAGATATCCATGATTATTATTTTTGAAAACTGATTATTTTCAATTGCAGTTTCTCTATAAAAGTGACTTTCACATTTCTACAGCAGGAGATGCTACGAAGGAAATTATCAATTAAACACTAGAAAACGGCGTCATCTTCAACATTATTGATCTGATAAAGGGTTTAGGGGTACCGTTGTGAATCGGTGCCCCTCTTTAAATGTTGGGTCACTTAAAGGGAGTGTCCGTGAAAAATGAAAGGGGGTATAGACTTACGGCGAAAAAAAGGCGCTTTTGATCGCTACTATTCTTATTTCTATCTGTTGCGTCTATATGAAGAAAATTGTTAAAAACGACTCATGCTGATGAACGTAGCGTCCATACACATTCATGAAATTTGCAACATTCAACTCGGATCTTAAAATTATCAATTTAATTCCAAACAAATCATTCAGATATTACTAACAATAGTCGTCGATTATTTTTCGACGCATTCGTATATAGTTAATATTTCATAATATTTTTGATTTTTTTTTTTTAATAATATTTCGCTTGTGCTGGATTTTCGAACATTCTTGGAAAATATAAAAATGTCGTTTTTATTATCAAAAATCCTCGAAACAGGAATAAATGTTTTCAAAAGTAACTATCAGATCATAAAAAATAAAAAAAATATTATGAAATATCAACTAAATACGAAAGCGTCGAAAAATAATCAATGATTATTGTTTGTGATATCTGAATGATTTGTTGGGAATTAAATTGATTTTTTACGATCCGAGTTGAATGCTGCAACTTTCTGAATTTGTATGGATGATACGTTCTTCGGTATGAGTAGTTTTTAACAACTTTCTCCTTATAGACGCAACAGATAAAAGTAAGATTAGTAGCGATCAAAAGCGCTTATTTTTCACCGTAAGCCTAGATAACCTTTAATTTTTCGCGAACACTCCCTTTAATTTACACCGACAGGGTATTCTGGTCCCACATCAATTATTACTTATCAGTGCTGCCCCTGGTAGATTATAGTACAACTGCGCCTTTGAGGTTGTCAGTTAAGTTGGATTTACACAAATGACACATCTAGCACAAATGACACTTCTAGAACAACTACCACAAAAATGAATGATGCCAACTTGCAAAATTTTAAAGAAATTGGTAAAAAATTGAAAACGTTAGCCCACCCCAACCTTTAGCCAATGAGGCACTTCTTCAGTTTTTACGACCTCCATGAAAAAAATTAAGTTAAAGGAACAGGAAGCGATACCCTTTAAGCCTCTGACTTTACATCGAGGGCAGAGAGCTCAGTATGTTTATTTCTAAAAGAGAAATGGTGTTCAAATCGCCGAACAATCGGAGTGTAGGCTAGCGTACGCCGTACAGCGTACATTTATTTCTAAAAAATCCCAAATAAGAAAACTTGAAACTACCAGTGCTTAGAATCCGGATCCGTTGGATCGCAATATTTTGGCAGAATATCAACCGAAGCCTGCAAAAATAAATTAAATTTTTGCTCTTAAAACACAAATCTTACTTGGTAAATAATAAGATATTAATAAACACTCCCTAATATCTGAATGATTCAATAAGTTTCAACACATTAAAAAAAATGTTGAAAACTTTTAGTCTGTTAAAAAAAATCAGTGAATCGTGAAGAAATGTTGAGAACCAGGATCCGGATCCATTTCTTTCAACGCGGATCCAGGATCTGGATCCGCATCAAAATTAAATGAAACCTAAGCATTGGAAACTACCTTAATTTTTCCTCCAGTTTTCCCTCCGGTGTGTTTTTATAATCGTCATCTTCTTTTTGAGCTTCTAATTCTTGTAGCTGCTTCAATCTAGCTTCCTCCTGAAAATTTAATACATTGAAGGTCCATTTCTCTATCTTACCCCCGGAGGGGAGGGGGGGTATCTCAAAAGATACGATTCGGGGGATGAGAGATAAGATCATGAAAGATTTCCAACGTGGGATCCCCAGACAGCCTTCGGAAATAATGGTCTCAAGTTACGGGGCTGATTCTCAAAGATGCAAGATGCCATATAATAATAATAATAATAATAAGGGTAGATCTGAAAAGGAACCCGACATGGAACCCCCAGACCGCCGTCGGTGCGCAGCGCATTAACATGTTAATTTTCATCTCATAAATCTTTATATAGAGTAAATTGCGTTAAGCAATTTTATTGATAAATTTGAGCATTCGTGCATTTCCATATATATTTTTAATGTACGTTTGAACATTTATTCACAATATCGTATTTGTATTTTTTCGATTAATTAAAGTTTGAAGGAAGGGAAGAAAAAGTAAAACCTGTGGTTTGGAGATAACGTTTTCAAATCAATTAAAATTTACCTTTTCCGCCAGTCTCACTGCTAAAGGTTTCTTCTTCTTTTTCTGGTAAATTGCACTTTCAGCGGGACCCTGAACAAGAATGATCAATCTCAAGAATTTTGTTTACTTTTGACCCCATTCCCACGTCCCTTCAAAAAAAAATTTCTCAAAGTTTTCTGATCTGCAAGGAACGCGAAATTTTAGCATGAATCTTTGAATAATAATTAAATAAAAAAGGGTATTCTATCAAAGGGGAATGGTGGAGATGTCATATTTGATGTGTGTGTGAGGGGGGGGGGGGGTTGCCTTCATTTTTGGTTCATTTTTGCCTTCATTTTTGTATGTTTGCGAGGAGTGCAACAATTTTATTAAGATTTTGTTTGCTGAAAGAGAAACAATTTGAAGGAAAATATATTAATTTTTGGAAAATAAGTACTAAAAAGGAAGAAAAAATGCCTTTAAGGTCTATTTTTTTTTCAAAGATAATCAAAAATCATTCTAAAAAATGTATACTCCTGAATTGAGTTTTTTAATTTTGACCCGTAAGAGTTTTTAATAAATAAAAATACTGATGATTAATTACATCAACAGATTCAGATTTCTGTTCTTCATCACTTTCTGCATCCCAGGCGTCCTTAATATCATCATCCTCGTCCTCTCCGTCCCATTTATCCGTCCTGAACAAAGAATTATTTAAATATTAAGAATTAGAAAAATATACATCCGTCCTGAACTGAGAGTTGATTAAATGTTTATTAATCCCAACCAGAGAATTAAACTAATATATATCTGTCCTAACCAGAGAATTAATCTGATGTATATCTGTCCTATCTAGAAAATTTGTTAAATGTATATCAGTCTTGACCACAGAATTAGTTAATTGTATATTAGGGAAATATGTATCCGTCCTGAACAAGTTGTGTTTAAATTGTATATTGTGTTAAGGAAATATATTGCCGTCCTGAACAGAGAAATCGTTTAATGTTTATCCGTTTAGAACTGAGGATTAGCTATGTCAACTGTAAAGTGTATATCTGTCCTAACAAAATAACTAGTGAACTGTATATCCGTCCTGGACAGAGTTTATCTGTCCTACCTAGAAAATTAGCCAATTTCTTCACAATTCTTAGAGACTGTCAACATTATTTCCAGGGAAACCTCAATCCATATGCAAAGATGGCAATGTCCGATTTAAAAGTTTTATTTAATTAAACAAGAATTTAATATGCATGGTTTAGTTTGATCAAACTGTTGGGTTTTAAGGACCGTTGTGAATCGGGCATTGCCAATTTACCATGGAGAGTCGCTCGCTGGGTAATATGCTTACGATAGTCCCTAAAGCAGCTGAAATAAAACAACTACAAAACCAGGGATTTAAACTTATTTTAGGGGTTATATAAAAAAAAATGGGGTCTGTCCTAGTATACGATTTTTGGAGAAATTACCAAAAAATGCCGGCAATCAAAACTAAAACGATTTTAGGACCCCCTCCTTATCAATTTTGAACGTACTTCTCTTATTGAACATATGGATAAAGTAACTCATGTGGCTGCAGTTCTTAGCCTCCTGGCCTAAGCGCTCGGCTCAGAAAGTGTCCTAACCTAACTTAATCCTAAATATATCCTAATTTTGTTGAAAATTGTAGAAATTCAAGGTATGTCCTGAAGTACAAAATTCTTCTTCTTAACAACTTTATTCAATACCAATACCAAAATTTATCAACAATAGTATATCTTATATCTATGTACCTATTACTGAAGTACAAAAATATATGAGGACGGGCGGGAGGTGAGGATGGGGTCCAAAAATCGTATACTAGAACGGACCCAACAAATATATAAATCGGCCTACGTTCTGAAAAAATGGGAAGGATCTCATTCACATATTTAGAGTTTACCTGACAGGCACCGCAGCTTTACTCCCTGGAGCCTCAGGCTCAAATTCCTCAGCGTCCCAATCAGACATTTCAGATTTCTGTAAATTATTTCAAACGTTTTCCAACTTGGACGAAAAAATTGGAATTAAAAAATTATACAAAAATATAATAAATTTATTTTTTTAAATTATACGCCTGGGCCTGAAGATTGAAACTTGACAATCGTTATTTAGATAACAACTGCTCCTTTCACCACTGTTTTTCTTTTTTATCCACATGCCTCCCAGACGCTTTTATTTGGTTTGGAACTTTAATTTTGATTTGTTGATTAAAAACAAAGACGACAAGAAAAATATTAATTTTTTATTTATTTTCCGAATGTTACAGAATAAAAATATTGATCTGAAGGATATATTGTAAAGTTGATAAGCCTTTTTCATAGTTTTCGGAGAATAATCAAATAAATTGCGATCTTATTTTTATAAATTATTTTGTTGTTTAAATTCTTGTGAATTAACCGCGGCAGTTGATTAAATTCATTAATTTTCCAACCAAACCAAATATTAAGAAAAATGGATCGAGACAGTTAATTTAGAAATCAAACCTTGCTTCAGTTTTCTTTGGAGTATCTTAAACTTTTCTAACAATTTACTCTCCACTTCGTTGAATAATTATGGTGATTTTGGAACGAATTGATTTTTGTTTAAACTGTTAAATGAATAATGTTATAAATATAATATAAAAATGTAGATGATAAACCTCCATAAATTAGGCTATCAGGGTCTTTCCTAGAGAACGATTTTCAAGAAATACTTATTGTAGACATAAATTGTTTCAATCAAATATTTACTGACGATTTGGACGATGTTGTATTTTTATACCGCCCATGATTTTTACATAGAAACTTGTACCATTTTTTATTTAAATTATGAGGAAACATGAAAAAATGTTGTTGACGTAAATAACTTAAATGCACTTTTACAGTCAACATATTTTAAAATATCTTCTCTTGATATTTAACTCCTGAATTTACCAGATGGACCCATTTTTATCAATGTTGTTTATTTCAGATTAGGTAGATGAGTGAATTATGAACTTGTGTATGCTTGTCTGTCCCTCTGTGTGAGTTAGATGAAATGTCTGGCGTTGGTGGGAAAGGTGGACATGGTAGTCTACCTTCTAACTCCAGTCAAACCAACAGAGTTCCTCCAATACCCTGTCCAGGAATCATGATCATTCGTAACATTTTGTTAAACATTTAATCTTTGTGAAGAAACAATCTCAAGAACTGACGAGGGTCGGTAATTTCCTAGTATACGATTTTTGGACCCCCCCCCCCTCCTATCAATTTTGTACATGGGTGTTTCTTAACTTAACCTAACCCGTGGCCGCAGCGCTCGGCCCCCTAGCCCATCCTAGCCGCAGCGCTCGGCCCAGAAAGTGTCTTAACTAACCTAACCCGTGGCCGCAGCGCTCGGCCCCCTAGCCCATCCTAGCCGCAGCGCTCGGCCCAGAAAGTATCTTAACCTAACCTAACCCTAAATAACAAAAAAATAAATAATAATAAATTTGCTGAAAAATAAATGGTCATGGTCACCCAGACCGAAATATATTTTCAATAAATGTGGAACTAACATCTACTTTTTTACTCTACAGAGGTTTGGTCCATCACCATCACTGAATTTTAATTCAATTTTCTTTAGTTGTTTTTTGGGATTTAACCAAACTTGAAGGGTTTAACTGTCTTCTACTAATGTATGTTATATCTACTTCTTTTAAACAACGTTATTCAGTATTTTAAATCAATAATACTAGCTGAAGGGCCCGGTATTGCCCGTGGAAACAAAAACAAAATTAAAAGAATTTTAGAAGAATAAAAATTCCATTTTTTAAAGCCAAAAATACCTCCCGGCCACCCATGAGTGTCCACAAAAAAATTCAGCCCAATCGGTGAAGCCGTTTGGCCGGCTACAGGCAACATATATATACGAATGGCTTGTTTTCTTATATAGATAATTTACGACAATTTGAGGAGAGAAAATATCTCCAACTAGAATTCTTACTTATCTATTATATGATAGTTATGAGCTGCTTTTCGCAGAGCTCTCCAATGATCACAATTTAATCAATATAAGCTGGAATAATTTTGCAAAAGTAGTATGACTTTTTATCTTGAATAAATGGCTAACATGGACAAAAACTGTTATTAGGAAAAAAAGAATCTATTTTCAAACGTAGTTGCAATTTATGTTTTATCTGCTAACCTAACTTTTTTGCGCTAGCAAAATTTGTTTGATTCCTGATTCGTACTACAGTGGATACGATTGCTGCAAGGAATATAACTGTAACTCCTAGAGCTTTGTTTACTTACAAAGTGTACTGCAGTTGTGTACTGCAGTTTCTGAAATAAACATAAACAATGCTCAGTCTGGGTAGCTTCTTGTTTGTTTACATTTCTCACACAAACTGCAGTACGCTTTATTTGAAACAAAGCTACATAAGTTCCTGATACATTTCTTGAGTAGGCTAAGGTATATTCCACTGATTTGTTTACAAAGTGTACTGCATTTAATAGGAGTTGAAAGGAACTCCTTTAACTGATTAAATAGTTTTCTAAAAAATAGAAATAAAATCAAGATATAAAATCAAACATCAAATAGCTAAAATATTGATATTCTCTCAGAAACTCATAACACACGGAATGGATAAAAATAAATAAATATAAAGTGTTGTTAATGTTAGAAATGAAATATGTTCTCCCTGATTCGTACAATGAAGTGGAGTATTATGATTTGGTATTGCAGTACAGTGAGCAGTAACAACATAATCTAATGCTTCGCATGCAGTACGTTTTCTTGGAAGTTCACAAGTGGTACTGCAAAAGTTCACAATGACACAAATAAGTATACTTCAATTCATTTCTACCATATCTTTGTTTACATTGAAGTTGTACACAGAATTAACACTGTACTGCAAGAACCGAGAAGTGGCGAAGGGGGTTGTTTATAATTAAATGTTAATTAGTATAACGGTTTATTGTATACAAAAAACAGTTAGTAAACATTTATTTCACCATTTTGACCTTCCTGCCCTGCACAGGAAAATTCTGAATTTTGTTAACAGACTTTGTTATTGTTTCCCGGCATATTAAAAAATCTTTCTTTTTAATACAACCTAACGGGCTCTTCTATCTTCCATACGTAGATCTAGCATGACTACAGAGGCTGTTTTGTTAAACCCCTGTTTCAACCTATGTTAACAGAAATTAAAAAAAAAGTTTAAATTTGTTTCGACATGATCATTATTCGTGTAGTGAGCAACGCAATGAACACAAGTACCGGTGGTATCGCCGGGCTCGCCACCTCCCCTAACTCCGGCAGTGATCTCGCCAGCTTGTTTGAGTGCCCGGTCTGCTTCGACTACGTTCTACCGCCGATCCTACAATGTCAGGCGGGTCATCTCGTGTGTTCAAACTGCCGACCTAAGTTGACCTGCTGCCCAACATGTCGGGGTCAACTGGGAGCAAATATACGCAATTTGGCGATGGAAAAGGTTGCTTCAACTGTCTTATTCCCGTGTAAATATTCTAGTGGTGGCTGTGTTATAACTCTTCTTCACACGGAAAAGGTAAATCCATTGACAAGGCGGGGAGTGAAATTTTGGTAGGAATGTTTTGTCGTTCTCAATGCATAACTTAAGTGGGAACATTGAAATTGAAAAATATGACTTTAAAGGCAAGTTTTTTTTAAATCTTTTTTTCATACGGTTTAAAAAAATGTTTATTCTCCTGAAACGCATTCATTTACCAAATTTGGCGATGAAATGCGCCCCGGGGAGGGGGGGGGATAATATCAAAAATGAGGGAATGATTCTATAAAAAAACACCCCTGCGGCAATTGCTGAAATAATAGTTGTTTAAATTTTGTTTGATTAGATTGAGCACGAGGAAACCTGTGAGTTCCGCCCCTACTCCTGTCCCTGCCCTGGAGCTAGTTGTAAATGGCAGGGAAGCTTAGAACAAGTTATGTCACATCTCATGCAGGTAACTTGTCCAACCTGAGCTGGAAACTCTTGTGTTTGATACTAACAATCCTGATCGCTTTCCTTCCGATATCCGCTGTTGACACTTTTGATTTTCTGCTCAATCTTCTTTTTTGATATCCCTGCTAGGTTCTCAGTAATATTGCGAAAAATTATAGGCTTCGGATTGGCTGTTCGATATATGCAAACAACACTCTGATTAGTTGAATTTTTTAAACTCTCCTAGATATTAAAATTAAGATCTATCAATCCTCAGAAAAACAAAAAGGGAATATCAAGCATCGTTCTTTATAAGTACAATACAAGGAAATATCGTTTTTTTTTGCGGCAGGGGTCTAAACTTGAGGGGTAGGGGGGGGGTGATTAACTTGCGATGTTTTTACAAATTTTCGTTTTTTCAATTTAGCGATTTTAAGTCTAATATACATTCACTTATTGCGGGGAAGAGGAGTAGGATTTTTTCATTTTTTCGTTTATTTAATAAAATGCTTACATTTTACGTTTATAATCTTGAATTTCAGGTGCACAAGTCAATTACAACGTTACAAGGAGAAGATATAGTGTTCTTAGCTACAGATATTAATCTACCAGGTCAGTGAAAAACAGCTGTCAGGCCTATATTTTGTGTGAGATATAAAATGTCAGGGTGTATACTGCATAATGTATATTCTTACTTAAAGTTTGATTTCTCTATCCTGTTTTTCGCTAGAGTTTTGTAAATAAAATCAATGATTTTTCAAGAAAATATACACCCCTGTCAATATAAAACGTTTGATCTTTATATCCACTGAGGCAACTTTTGATTTTGAGGGATAAGTGCCTCAATTTTAGCCATCTCTGCGGGATTCCGACTACGGGTTATCCGAATGAAGAACATTTAAACCTTCGGACGACGAAAGTTATGAACAAGATACTCAACACACACAAAAACATTTCTGATTGAAACCAGCTTTAATGAAGTTATATTTTCAATTTGTTTTCTTTCAAATCAGTACTTAGTTTACATTTATTTTCATGCTTTTACGGATCCTGGATCCACTCTGAAAAAATGGATCCGGGTTATGTCATGAAATTTTTTTCAAGATTTACAGAATTATGCCAACTGAATTTTTTTTCCGTTTTCGCATTTTTTGCTGAAACTTGACGGACAGCCAGAGCTGAGATGAGGACATTTTTGATAATCTCTTATTAGTTAACGGTTAAATCTGTGTTTTGAGAGAGAGGTTTTGTTTGATACTTTTCTCCTTGGATCTGTGTATTCTTCAATTTTTGCGGATCCAGATCCAGAATGCCAAGATTTTGCGGCTACAATGGAAGCAAAATCAAGTTATAGAACTGTTTTGAATGTTATGTTATCAAAGAAGATTTTTTTGATAACATAATGTTTAAAACTATAAAATGCAAAAGTTTCAGAAACAATCTTTTGAAACAAATTGATATTTTCTTTTAAATTATTAAATTCTTTGATTTAAGTAATGATAATTTAACCAGGTGCTGTTGATTGGGTGATGATGCAATCTTGTTTTGGTCATCACTTCATGCTGGTTCTAGAGAAACAGGAGAAGTTTGATGGGCATCAACAATTTTTTGCCATCGTACAGCTTATAGGAACTAGGAAACAGGCGGAAAATTTTGCGTACAGGTAGATTTATTATTCTTGTAATGATATGAACAAAAAAGTAATCGGTTGTGTTTGTATTTCTCTTCGTAATCCGGGAGAGCGCATATTTAAGTTATGTAAATTGACTTCAAGACTCAAGATCAGGTTTAGTTGAATAGACCCTAGACTTTTTGGGGATTAAAATTTTTTTCTAGGATTCTTTGCAGGAAAAAAAGTTAAAAGTTAAGTAGGCTTCAAGATTGAGTAAACGTCAGTGTACAGTGAGATGAGAGATATATAAAAAAAGGGAAAATATTTTCAATAATTACCCGCGAGGGTGGGGTGGGGTGTTTTTCGAGGCGCGCGTTCCGGAAAGAGAAAATATTGACATAAAAAATCAAAACATTATTCACATATTTATCAATTTTTAACTAGAAAAATAAATTGCGCATCGCAGAAGCATGTCTAACATCATGGGGAGACATTTTTTACTGATTTTCTTCATTTCATGACCATTACTTTGGCATAAATTGTTAAAGGTGGCTTTCTAATAATATTTAAAGAAATTATAAAATCACTTGTTAATCATTGATATCCATTGATTGTTAAGCGACCAAACTACTGGCTTAAAATATCTAGATACTCCTTGTGGTATCACATCTTGTCATACTCTCCATAAGTTGATCCTATAAGCCTCATAAACTCTCAACTCTAATCTATCATCTGAGATCTTCATCTCGAGTAAACTGGATATATGGTACACGGTTCAATCTGAACACATTGACTGCAATTACTCTATTTAATACAAGGAATATAATTACAAGTTAAACTTTCAACAGAGTATATCAAACAAAAATATTTTGCATATAAAAACACATTTAATCATAAAATATAAGAAATATCAAATGTTCGTTATTTTACTTAACTATAAGCTTCTCGATATTTATAAACAAGATCAATCTTCAGTTTAAACCATAGAAAATACGCAGATCGTTAAGGAATACCTTAATATGCCTTAGGCAAAGTCACAACACAGGTATCACATCAAATATCAAAGTTTAACTGACAAGAAAAAAAAGTGTACGGACAGTATGGTTTCTAAGACTCTTCACAATTTATAACCCGTTCTGTTGCTGTGGAACAAACTGAACTAAACTCCGTCCGTAGGGACTTCACAGCTTTACTTCATGGTATTCTGGGGTGTGGGAAACAGAACTTGACGAAAACGTCGCGTAACACCTTTCATCTTTCCGTTACCGTCTGATCTAATCAGGGTTTAGTCGGGTGCTTGGTGACGATTCAGAACCAATAGAAATTACAACAGCGGTAACATCTATCTATCTATCTATCTCATCCTACAATTAGAAATGAATTTTGAAATCAGTGCTAAACAGTAAACGGAAATGTGTTCTTCAACTGATACACGGGTGGTCTCATTATTCTTAGATCATGCACATGGATGTGAAATCTAATAAGACTACGGAAGAATATTGAATCTAATTTATTTTCAGGTTGGAGTTGAACGGGCATCGGCGCCGATTAACCTGGGAAGCCACGCCGCGGTCTATTCACGAAGGTGTTTCCTCCGCCATCTTGAATTCTGATTGCCTCGTGTTCGATACAAGTATAGCTCAGCTGTTTGCTGATAATGGAAACCTAGGGATAAATGTAACAATCTCAATGTGCTGAATGCTTTATCTAATCTCTAGACAGGGGAGGAGGTTATAGTATAGCTTAATTAAAAGTATTTGATGTGCTTATTTTATGGGACGGATTAGACAACTTTGCTATTTAAAAGCTATGTAATGCCATTAAATAAAATAATTTCCAGGCCATTTAAATTCCAAATTATTTATTATTATGCCTAACAAACAGAATTATATAGCAAAAAAAATGGTCTAGCTTGACCATGAGTAGCACATCAAATATTTGACGACGACCTCTTCCTCTAAAGTCATGAAAGTACACAATTATCATCTCCACTCACTCCATACACGGAAGTTATCGGGATTATACTTGATCCACTCTTTTTCTTAATCTCGAGATTAAATAATGCTTGTTCTCCTCTTTTTATTGATCTCCAGATTAATTAACCGATCGGAATTAAGGATATTCCATTCTAAAGTTTTCAGCTCTGACTTGAGAACTTCAGTGTTGGATACCCATAATACTTACATATCCACAGTGGGGCACTTCTGAATTTTACAAAGAATCTGTTTAATCTCTTGATTTTTTATATCCGCAATTTCTCTGTTCTCTCATTGGTGGAGAGCAAAATTCCTTGGCTGTTTGTTTTCCAAAGCCAACACTCTTTACGGGATAAAATTAATCTTTAGATAAGCAAAAGATCGAGATCAAGCATTGATCTCGATATCCACAATACAAGAGTTGCTACAATTTCAAATTATTTAATTCTTGAAGACATTTAAGTGAATAGAAGAACAAAAACTACATTAATTTCACACTTAATGGTTCTCACATGTAGCATGTACCAAATCCTACACTACACAGTATGTTCGTAAATATGTATTTGAGAATTGGAGAAAAGTATTTTACTGTTATTTATCCATATAGCTGTTAGTTACATTCTACCCCCATACCCCCTTCATAAATCCCCTAGCCCTTTCTCCAAACCGTTTCCCCGTTGAAGAAAATCCTGAAAAATATTTAACCTCTGTATTTTTCCCCTTGAGCATACCGTCTCCTTTTTCTTAAAGGGACTGTAAGCGTGATTTCAAGTGAGCCTCCATACAAAGATTGCAATGCCAGATTTACAACGGTGCCCTTAAAAATATATCTGATTTCATTTATGTTTTATTTCTTGTAACTGTTGATTTTTATTTGTATGGCTTGCGACTTGCGCACTTCTTGCGCACTTTTTAAGTCAGAAAAACGACGGTATTGACGGTATTTTTGAGTAGATAAAGATTTTAAGGGTTTAGTTGTGAATCGGACATTTTCATCTTTACATAGAGGCTCACTGAGAATTACCCTTACAGTTCCTTTAATACAATATTCTATTTTCTCTCTCCTTCTGACTAACCCTCTTCCTCCCAACTTTCTTCTGTTTAATTACATCTAAAAAAATATATGAACAAATTTTTTAAATAATTATCAAAATGAAATGAAACAATCAGTTTCATAATGTATTATTGTGTTAATATTGCTGCTGTGTACACTTACATTGTACTGTACAGTTTTCGTAATTCGGGGATGGTACATGATTCGAGATCAGCTCTAAAATTTTGTTAACATAATCGGAGATTTATTTACACGAATGACGACTAAATTGTACATAGTTTATAGTCGAAATTAAATGTCGTCATGTTAAATAAAGTCGAACGCTATTCAAGACAATTTCAAAAACTTAAAAAGTTATCACGTTTTGATCGTCTGTTCAGAAGTTGTTATTTGTATCATCACCTGGACAAATTCTTTTTGAATGACACAATTTGTTCACCTCCTCACTACGTTATCAATACAATAGTTGGGCAGATTTTGCTTGAAGAAAAAATTAGTTTTGAAGAATTTTAATGAATAAAATATGAGTGATAAATTTATTATAAATACACATGTTGTATGTATTGTATAACGTATATTATTGATCCAAATAAATCGTTTTACTAAACTAAATTAATCTTTGTAAGATTATTGCAGTATTTTTTAATGTGAACCTTTGAATGGAAGAACTTAATTAAACAAATTTAGTAAAGTCGGTTTGGGGAGTGGGAGTAGGGAAGCCTAATAATTCGATTCGATTCATATGTTTCTCACTGGGTTAAACTGAGCCCGTGAGCCCGTGATTTAAAAACCTCGGGGAAAATACAGCTCAGGTCTAAGCTGTCGTTAGGCCTTATTTACGGCTTGCGGTTTCGTATTCAAGCTGCATTTTATTTTCCACCGAGTTTAGTTAAAAAAATCGGTTTAATATTCTATTTGGCGGATATTCATGGTAGGAATTGGCGCATTCCGGGTTTTTATGAGAACAAGACTCAACATCGAGCCTTATTCTCTACTAAAACCAACCAAGGTCGGTTTTATTTTCATTGGGCCTAACCTTAAGCAAGGCCAGCCACAACAAGTTCTCGTCCGAGCCACCTCGGAATCCTCGTCCTTCGATTATTTTGTGTTAAAAGTTTCCAATTCTTGAAGATAAAACTATTTTTTAAAAATATGGCGACGTTTGGGCATAAATTATGGATGGACAAAAGTATTGCAATGATTATATCATGTTGGAATCTTCAAACCCATGAGAATGATGTCAAACTTTATTTAGGTAAAACTTAAATCTCTTCTGCCTCCGAAATAGCTAACCTAAAAAGCAAAATTTTCGGCATACCTCTGCCTATAATTTTCCCCATGGAACCACCCGGAAAAATTCTATGGTTTTCATTATAAGTTAACAAAAAAGATTGAAGTTCTATAAACTTGGAATTATTTGCGACATTCTACACCAGGAATATCTGAAAATGCACGAAATAAAGGTCAACATTTTTAAAGACATTAAACTTGAAATCTTTAATTCAATCGAAACTTTTTTTTTCGATTTACAAAAATTTGATATTTCATTTATGCCCTAACGTGGCCCGATTCTTTAAAAATAGTTTTATCTGGGACACTGAGTAAAGACTGATTGGTTATGAGGAAACACTGTCTATTCTGCATAATATTTATTGTGAGTAAACACTGTCTATTTTGTATAATATTAATTGTGAGTAAACACTGTCTAATCTCATGTATTAAATTAATTATGAGGAAACACTGTCTAGTCTGTATAATATTTATTGTGAGTAAACACTGTCTAATCTCATGTATTATATTAATTATGAGTAAACACTGTCTAGTCTGTATTATATTTATCGTGAGTAAACACTGTCTATTTTCATGTATTATATTAATTATGAACAAACACTGTCTATTCTGTATTATATTTATCGTGAGTAAACACTGTCTATTCTCATGTATTATATTAATTATGAGTAAACGCTGTCTAGTCTGTATTATATTTATCGTGAGAAAACACTGACTATTCTCATGTATTATATAAATTATGAATGAACACTGTCTATTCTGCATAATATTTATCGTGAGTAAACACTATATATTCTGTAAAAGAATTAAATATAAACACCGTTGTTGACGGATAGAAACCAAGATTCTCAAGATGAGATAATAATAAGCCCACTGGAATCAGTCGTTGAAGGATATATATTTCCCAACAATATTTCCCGATTTCAACAGAAGGCGCACAATAGAATGAACCCCCGTCCCTAAAAATCGATAACAAAGAATTCTCTTTATTTCCTGAAAAAAAATACATATATGAAAATGTTTAAAATATTATAATGAATGTTTATAATGAAAAAATCCTTACGATCTAATAGCGGATGATAAAGGGGTTATCAATGGTTGAACAGTACTAATAGACGTTTTAAACTTCTGAAATAAAATGACAATTAATTATTAACGAAAGTCACTAATTCTTTATATGAAAATATTCTTTTTTTAACTTTTGAAAATGGAATCACAATACGCGAGGTTGTTTACGACTCCGTCAAGGAGAACAAAGAAAAGAGGGGTTAAAATTGTTTGGTTCGGTGTCTCCAAGAGGGGGAATCACAATACGCGAGGTTGTTTACGACTCCGTCAAGGAGAACAAAGAAAAGAGGGGTTAAAATTGTTTGGTTCGGTGTCTCCAAGAGGGGGACCCAAGTTAAAGACGACTTTACACGGAGACGTATGTTAATGGTTGACAACTGTCTATTCTGTTCATGTGTAAAGTATTTGTCAGGACTTGCAACGTTTAATTCAAGCTCAATAGGTTTTAATCTGTACGAATTGAAAGTTTATGGAACTGTATAAAATGTCTGCGTGAAAATAGCAACTTAGCTAACACACTTTTCATAAAAATGAACGAAGGTAAAAGGAACAAAAAGTATCGTCGCTCTTTCACGAAAAAGATGACTTAAAAATTTGATAAATAAAATTTATTTTAATTCAAAATATAGATCTGTTTGAATAATTTATGTATTTTTATACAATCTGATGTGAACAAAAACTGAACAAAGTTTTAAGTTTTTTTTAAAAAATTTAGTATTTTTACTTTTAGAATTTTAGGTTTGCTTAAGGCAGGTTATTTCTGTACAAATAAGAAAAGAAACTTTTAAATTTACTAAAAATTATTCACTAAAAATTAAATCAATAACAAATACGAACAATTGTTTCATTTGGCTTCAAAAGCTCACATATAATAATCAACAAGCTCAATTTATAGATATTGACATTTTACACGGAACATGATGATAAAACTTATATTTTAAGAGGGTTTACATTTCATTAACTTTCAGAGAATGTTTCAGTCCTGCTTTAAATTAAAACTTTTACTTGCTGAGCAAAAACAAAGGCATCAGTTAAGTTTATGTTGAATGATTTTTAAAGCTAAATTTTGTAAGGAAAAATGTTACGTTTCCGTTTAGAAATAACTTAAGTCTTTGCCTTTGCCACAAAATCTGATTTGCTAATCCATATTCTTTGCAAACCAATGTCATAGACCTTAGATTTTTCAAACTCAAACTTAGAAATTTTGTTGGATCTAAGGTTGCTAAGATGCTGGGATTCAAAAATTTTGGGCAAAGACGCAAATCCTTAACAGCCAGGTTTCAAGTGCAAAATGAAAGTTCAAAGGTTAAAAAAGTTGGTAAATTGTTTTTGTAAAGGAACTGAGTTCTTTCCACAAAGTCTTGTTTTCGAATCTTTATCTTTTCAATCCGATATTGTAAACCTTTGATATTTCAAACTATGAATTCTGTTAGATCAAAAGGTTCAGTTTGAAATATAAAAGGTTCTTCATCAAGTTGCGAAGATAAAGGGATTATAAAATTCAAGTTTATGACAAAAACTCAGTTTAAAGCCATCTGTGAGGGGGGGGGTGATGCGACAATGAGCCCCGCCATCTTCTGTTTTCATTTTTGAAATTTATTATTTTTTAAGTAAACTATCTTCAAGGGTTTATTTTTACAGTCTTTAGCTGGACTCGAACAGAGTAATGCAGCGGCTGGACAGGGAATTTGGACAGGAGTTGGTGGGGCTCATGCCCGCATTATCCTCCCCCCCCCCCTCCCCTCTCGTGATGTAAGACTATGCATATGTAATTTTATAGTTGGATGATCGTCTCTGTAAGATGATCATCTATTCAGTATTTAAGGTTTCAATTAGATCAGAATTTCCATGTTTCCTGCCTAAACCTAGTTCCTTTAATACATCTCCAAGAACTCTTCTTCTCAGCTTTCTTCTCCTTTTCCTCTTCCTCCTCCACCTCCTGAACTCCTTCCACTGTTTATCCAACCTCTCTTGAGGATGGAGACCGTGCTCTCGGATAATTTTCTTCTTGTGTTTTAAGTTAGAATCCTGTCTTATCTTCATCAGAAGATCTTGGAGTTGATCATCCTCTCCTTCAAGATGTGGAGGTCCTTCGAGAAGGGGTCCACGATTTCGACTGTGACGAGGTACTTGAGCTACTCCTGGATCGATTTCTACCGGAAAACCAGGATCTGAAGATCCCTTATCTGGGGGTTCTTTGTCCTTCAATTCTTGAGGAATTTTGATCCCCAGCCTACCCAGGCTCTCCTCTAGTCCTTCAAGAGAGTCTTCAGAGCTTATGTTCTCCGGGTTTAACAGCCGTCGTTTCAGAACATCTTTGATTCGTCTCAACACAGCTAAACGGGATTCTGGTCCATCTAATATAAAATTGTGATCAGTTATCTGTTAAGTGAAATAAACATGAAAATGTTAAAAATGAGAAACTTGAAGGAAGTGTAGGCGTAATATTAATAAATCCTCTATTTGTCAAATGGTGTGACCTTTAACTGACAAAGGTTGTCGGACTTAAACAATTTGATTGCAAACTGTTTTATATTTTGAAAATAGTAATTTTCACTTTCAAGGGGTGATCTTTTTTTATAATTTTTTAAACCCGCTTTTAAGGTAAAATATTTAGTAATTTAAAGGGGCACAAGTAACGGGTCAGCTGTGTGGAGTTCACCCTGTACAGAGCCAGGTTAACAGGAACTCAAGCTGTTTTCCATATATTTACACACACAGATCTCTGTGTTTGATGAAAAGTTTCAAGGGTACCGTCGTAAATCGGACATTGCAATCTTTGCTTGGAGGGTCACTTAAAATAACGCTTTCAGTCCTTTCAAGGATTAATAGTTTTATTTATTTTAAAGATTAGATTTTAATAGGGAGAGGAGGTAGGTGAAAGTTTACTGATTCTTGGGGGGTAGGGAGGGGGGCGTCGCCCCCTTTCCCAACTTATAATAAAACTTTTCTTTACTATACCTGAGGTTTCATTTGTCCGGGCCACCGGAATAAAACGTCCTGCGCATACAGGAGAAGGTATCCAGAGAAATATTAATCCGATCCAACCCAGTGAAACGATATCCATCTTAACTTAATCAAAGAACTGTCTTCTGCAATCCGTTCCATACATAATAGTTAGAATGGGTTGACTTTGGTATCACCGAAGAGAAGCGTTTTTGTACTCTCAGCGGAATTCTAAAGTTTCCTATTCGCTGAGTTTACGCCTGCCATGCCAGTTTTAAAGATATTTATCGTATTTTTGAGTATTTATGTTAGAGAGCTTTACGCGGTGAAGTCATCGAACAGACTGATACAGCTAGTGAGGAATAAGCGTGAGTTTGATCAGCTGACCCGGTCAATCCAACCTGTTCAGTGTTCACTATCCAGCATAGGTTTCGGAATATTAAAGCAAGTTTGTCACCAATTCAATATAATGTTTAACCAAGTTTTTTCTTCTTCCTATTTTTAACAGCCTCTAATTAGTTCAAGCTAGTGTTAGCAGCGAACGAAACGTTTCGCGAAAAAATGCGAAAATTTTCGTTAACATTTCGCAAAAAAAAATTTCTCGAAATGCGGAAATTTTGCAAAAATATTTTGTCTTTTTTAATGAATTTTCGTAAAAATGCTGCATTTTTTTTTAATTTCGTATTTTTTCGCGAAATTTTCGCATTATTTTTTTCGCGAGCGAACGAAATGACCTCAAAAATACTGTTATTCTATTATAAACCTACTACATGTCCCCTATGTAGTCCACGTAGTCCTAATTCAAGGTCTATATATTATAATGTATCCCTCTGTTTAGTTTTGTAGTACTCTCTGAAGTCCTGAGCAATCTCCTGTGACTATTCCCCTTTGTAGTCCACTGTAGTCCTGATTCAAGGACTATATATTATAATGTATCCCTCTGTATTTAAGGAAAGACATGCTAAACACTAGCATAATGCTATATTTGTTTATCAAGCAGGGGGGGGGGATAGAAACCCTGGACCTGGATATCTGATCATAACTTTAGAAACCCTGGACCTGGATATCTGATCATAACTTTAGAAATCCTGAACCTGGATATCTGATCAAAACTTTAGAAAGCCTGCACCTGGATATCTGATCATAACCTTAGAAACCCTGGACCTGGATATCTTATCATAACTTTAGAACTCCTGGACCTGGAAATCTGATCATAACTTTAGAAACACTGGACCAGGATATCTGATCATAACCTTAGAAATCCTGGACCTGGATATCTGATCATAACTTTAGAAACCCTGGACCTGGATATCTGATCAAAGATCTCTGTATGTTTGAATATCTGATCATAACTTTAGAAACCCTGGACCTGGATATCCGCTCATAATTTTAGAAACCCTGGATCGATTTGCTCAAAATTTTGATTGGGAAACCACGGGAATGTTTTTATGTTTAGAAAGTATCGATGTTTTTTTCATTAGAAAAGGAGTAAAGAGCAGCAATTCAAAGAATGAATCACCAAATATTTTTAATGTTAATATAAAGATGAATACTGCACAGTGTGATGTGATCCAAAGCTTGCAAGCTTTCGTGCAAAAATCTAAAAACTAAACAAAAATCTCTGAAGTTTTACTAATTTTATATAAAAACTAAATCTAAAAACTAAATCTGAAAACTAAGTCTAAAAACTAAATCTAAAAACTAAAGCTCAAAACGTCTAAGAGTTTAAAATGTTCATGTATAATACTATCAAATTAAATTGAGTTAGTGGGGTTAAATTAAGAAACCAAGCCGTCACAACACTTCAAAATCGGACCAGTCTTCAAAGTTGTTGCCTGGATCTATACGTGATATTTACATATTCATGTATATTGTATGTTGTAAAATTAATGTTGCATAATAAGTGAATGTACAAAGATTTTCAAGAGATTTTGAATAATGAATGAAAACCTGTTTATCGCTAGAAAAAGTTTTGCGTGTCCTAGGATATATATATATATATGAGAAAATGAGATTATTATAGGGTTACCCACAAAGGATGAGACTGGTAAGACAGCCAAAAACTCGAAAAATTTGACGCTTTAAAGCTTGTTTTTTGGTTTTGATTTATTGATGTTTTACTAAATTAAGCACAGAAATGAGCCAGTTTTTGCCTATAACAAGGAACCCTAAAAGGAAGAAAACGGACTGAACAATTCGGTGATGGTGATGGACCAAACCTCTGTAGAGAAAAAAGTAGTTGTTAGTTCCACACTTTATTATATATATATATATATATATATCAATATATATATATATTATAAATCTATGTATAAATTTGGCTTGTCTGTCTGTTTGTTTGTGTCCAATAAACGTCTAGACATCTGAATCCTATCGGGACCCAAATTTTTTTATAAAATCCGCGAAATTTTTCTTTCTTTGTTTTTTAATGTTACAATGAGAGCATGTTCATAATTGAAATAGAAGATGGGCGTGAAGCGTCCTAAAAGCCTAGTATTTTATATCTATATGTTTATGTTTTCAAGAGCTCCCTCCAATGTTATTCTATAAGTTGTTATAATACTTTATTTACAAAAAATTTACGCAAAAATGTTTGCAATACTGCATTAAACTAAAGCTAGGAACAGACCCGTTGAATGGTAAAAAAAAGTCCAAATCTAAAAAAAAGTATAGGTCAGCTGAGAAGTAAAACCAAGTAAAGCCTAACGTTGAATAAGATTAAAGCGTGGTCGTAAAACTTTATGTTCAATTTTCGTACATAGTTAATTGTCTGAATCTCTTTGAAAACAAAATATTCAAATTTTCCTTTCACAGTATATATTCCGATATTTCTTAACCTTTCCATTTGAATAAAAATTTTACAGTAAATATAAAAAGTATTCCCATTGCTTTACTAAATGGCATGTAATCGAATATATAAAGTTCAAGTATTTGAGTAAACATAGAATTCCGCAATTATAAAATAATAAATTAACTTTTCAACTATTTATAGTAAACTAGTGAATCTACTAACTTAAACTATACTGTAGAGACCAACTATTATTTCATCCATCTGCTCCCCCCCCCCTCCA